CCAGTTTTCAGTATGTCAAAGAAATTCTTCCTTTTCAATTCAGTTGCTAAGAAATGCAGGAGCCGGCACGGTGTTGCATGCCTCTGACCTGGGGTCAGAGATCTCGATCATGAATTTGCGACCAAGCTGGGTAACAGTGAATTGAAACCGAGGATACATAATGAGAACCTGCCTCCAAATACACACACACAAAAGACATGGGAACAACCCAAGTGCCCATCATCCAATTGGTGGATAAAGAAAGTGTGCTATATATGCACAAGGGGATGCTACGCAGCCACAACAAAGCTAAAATTCTGTCATCTGTAACAGCATGGGTGGGACCAGTTGCAGGTCATTGTGTTTAGTGAAATAAGCCAGGCTCAGAAAACCCAATGCCACATGATCTCACTCACTCACAGAATCTTAAAGACTTGATCTTGGGACTGGAGCTAGCAGTTAAGAAGTTAAGAATACTTGGCAGCTTGGTGGTGCACACCTTTAATCTCAGCACTTGGGAGGCAGAGGCAGATGGATCTCTGTGAGTTCAAGGCCAGCCTGGTCTACACAGCAAGTTCCAGGACGGGCTCCAAAGCAATACAGAGAAACCCTGTCTCGAAAAACAAAACTAAACTAAAGAATACTTGGTTCCTCTTGCAGAGGATCCAAGCTTGGGTCCTATGGCAGTTTACAACCATCTGTAGCTCCAGTCCCAATGGACCCACCACCTTCTTCTGGCCTCCATGCATATGGTGCACAGACACACTTGCAGGCAAGACACCTATATACATAAAGTAAAAGAAAAGGAAAAAAGTTCTTGAAAAAAAAAGTTGATCTCACGGAAGTTACAGGCAGAATGGCAGTCACCAGAAGCTGAGGAGGGTAGCAATGGCGAGAGACCAATGGGTGCTACTAAATTAAGTCAGCTAGAAACGCTTGTGGTGTGCTGTTGCACAGCTGACCACCAATAACAACAATGTACACTATACTTGCAAAACCTAGAATAAAAGGTTTTGAAAGTTTGGGCCATTGTGAAAAAAAAAAATGTTTAAAGAAATGGGTCTATCTGACCTAGTTTGTTATTACATAGGACCATTCCATAAATGCACACAATTTTTATATTTTGTGTGTCAGTTAAAATAAATGGTTTCTCTGTGTGTATAGAGATCACCATAGTCAGTTCTAGAACATATTTCGTCTCCCCTAAAGAAATCCTGTGCTCATTCTCAGTCACTCTCCATTCCCGGCTGTACTTCCCAGGGCGTAACTTCTTTCTCACTCTGCTTGTATCTCGCTGCCACACCTCTTACTACCAACCTCTCCCTCAGGACCAAGATGTCTTCCTTTTACATCCCTATCAGAAGCAGTATTCATCTCCCCAGAATGGGAGGAGCAGACAGGAACCATCTTGGCCTGGAACCAAGTGCCCCTTTTCCTGGCCCTGCTGTACTTCGCTCCACTGCCTAGCCCACTATCTTTCCAATCCCAGGCATGTGGAGTCCAGGTTCACTGGGAGAAAGCTTCAAGTATTTGAAGTTGGGCAACACACTGAACCTACAGCAAGTTTGACCTTGCCACAATCTGGGATTCCAGGCCAGTCTGATTACAAAGAAAGCTTGTCATTCACCCAGCCCCACACTGGAAGGAGAGCCCTCGGGTTGAGGGCCCAAGTGACCTGGGGGTCTTGTCTCTGAGCAGACTGGCCAGAGCTGATTTGCATCTCACTTTGTGTAATTAATGAAAGGAAAAGAGAACCCTGAGAGAACTAAAGAACCCCCGGGGAAAATGCACAAGACTCAGGCAGGCATCTCTGCGAGATCTGTCGGTACTTGCTAGAATAGGACTAGAAAGGGCGAAACAGAAGGCAAGCAGACGGCTGGGTTCTAGTAGGCTTGGCCCCTTGGTGAAGTAGTGGTGAGACCCTCGGAATGTCACTTCAAGCCTTTCCACAGTGTACAGGCGTGAACAGGCATGTGGGAGGCACCTTCCTCAGCATGCTTTCCGGATGCAGTCTCGTGTTAGGACTATTTGCTTTCAGGATGGATTAGATGCGGTCCATCGTTTGTTCTTTAATGTATATGAGTGTTTACCTGCGTGTATATGTACACCTCATATGTGCTTGGTGCTTGTGGAGGTCAGCAGGAGCTGGAGCTACAGGTGGCTGTAAGCCACCATCTGGGTGCTGGGAATAAAAACCCAGGACCTCTGCAAGAACAAGTGCTCGCAGCCACTGAGCTGTCTGTCTCTCCAGTGTCCTAGTCCAAGCTCACTTTGTCCTCTCGTGGGGAATTGGGATGTGTCTTAAGCTGAAGGTCCACTTTAGGACCTTGGTTTTTGAAACTTTTTTACATAATTTTTAATGTCATGTCTATTTTATAGCACTGAGGATAGGATGCAGGGCCTTGAGCACCCTGGGCAAGTGTTCTATCATTGAACTAGACCCTCAGTCGGGCCAATGCGATTTTAGTTCTGCTACATAGCCAAGGAGAATGATTATACATAACCAAAATAGCCCCCAAACATTATGCATCGGGCTGGAGAGATAACTTGTGGTTCAAAATGCATATTCTTCTTACAGAGAGGATGGGATGGATATGAGTTCTTAGCGCCCACACCGGGTAGCTCACAGCGACCTGTAGCTACAGCTCCAGGCCATCCAGTGTCCTCTTCTGGCCTCAGTGGGCACTGCACTCTTGTTCATACTCACCCCCAATACACATACACACACACACACACACACACAAATAAAAATCTTTTAAAAGGCATGCATCCGCCGAAGTGCCCTGCACAAGGTCACAGTAGGGAAGAGAGCATGAATGTATCTCTCTAGACTTCATGTTTCAGCAGTGGAGGTCAACACTTGTGTAATGGTTGTTATCTCTGTCGTGTCACCCTGACAAACTCCATAGTGGGTGAAACTTAACTAGAGGGATCTTTGTTATGCCAAGAGTCGTAATGACTTTAGACTTGCAGGACTTGTGTTGGAACAATGAATGAGCTGGGCTTGGTGGCATTTGCCTGTAATGCTAGCACTTGAAAGGAGAGGCAGGAGGATCTTTGTGAGTTCAAAGCCAGCCTGGTCTACATAGCAAGTTCCAGGACAGCTACACAGAAAGACCTTGTCTCAAAAAAAAGAAAAAGAGACAGTTGTGGATGGAAGACTGAGAACTGTTGTGCAGAGACTGAGGGAGGCACGTGTGGAATGTGGGCATCCAACAAAAATAAGGTGTGTGGTGAAGAGGTGAGGTCGGAAGGCCACGCACTATGACACTCAGATGCCCCCAGCAGTGGGGGGGGCGCATTTTATCTTACTTTAAGTGTATAACTGTTTTACCTGCATGAACGTCTATGCATCATCAGCTCCCTGGAACTGGAGTATGAATGGCTGTAAGCCATCATGTTGGTACTAGGAACCAAATCCAGGTCCTCTGTAAGAGCAACAAGTGTTCTTAACTACTGAACTTTCTCTCCTACCACATACATACATGTATACACATATGCATGTATGTTTTGTGTACATACATTTTTAATGATAAAAATGAGTATTGCTGGTTTTCTTAGAAGCTTTCTGTTCTGGGCATCAAAAGGTCAGAACAGATGTACATGGTGACATTTGGTTACAATAACTCACTGTGGGATGTGAGAAAATCTGCAAGTCTTGCTATAGCCAATGTGAGTCTTTAAAATATATATGCATGATATATGTATGCACATACATATATACAACTTACTTTTATTTTTTCCCATTGGTGTTTTGCTTGTATGTGTGTCTGTGTGAGCGTGTCAGATCCCCTGGAACTGGAGTTACTGACAGCTGTGAGCTGCCATGTGGGTGCTGAGACTTGAACTTGGGACCTCTGGAAGATCAGCCAGTGCTCTTAACTGCTGAGCCCCCTCTCCAGCCCCTACAATGTGACTCTTCAGTGTAAAGTCTAATGGAGGTGAAAAGCCTGGGTGTTCAGCAACTATAGTGCAAAAGAGCGTTACACGAGGAACAGATTCTGCTTCCAAATAACTCAGAGATCCAATCCTTCTCCTCACTACATTAGCTCTCGAGACTGTCCCAAAAACGTGAATTGAGTTTTTTTTACACTATTTTTTAATTCTTAATTATGTACATAAGTACGGTGCCCAATGAGGCAAGAAGAGGGCATAGATCTCCTGAAGATGGAGTGGCAGGCAGTTGTGAGCGGCCCTGCATGGGTGCTGGGAACTGAACACAGGGCCTCTGAAAGAATTTGTGTTCCCTTTACTTGTGAGTCATCTTCAGCCCCTGGCTGGAGTTCTCATGTGGGAAGTGTTGACTGGCCTTCACCTATGAATTGGTACTGCTGAGCCGCTACCTTGAAAGAATCCTTTCTGGGCTCTCCAACTCTTTTTCCTCCCTGCCAAGGGCCCTTACAGTGCTCTGTCTATCCAGGGAACCCACTTGGCTTTGTTGTGCCCCCTCCACCTTCTGCACAGTTCCTCCCCATCAACCCAGCTGCACTGCCTCTACCACAAACCCCTTCAAGGATAAACCTTTTCTTCAGGGATGACCCAGTTGCTTCTGAGGGCGATTCAGCCAGCTCTGCCATCAAGCATCACCTTCATTAAATTCGTGGCTGAGCTCAGTCCAGGTCACACAGTACCCCAGCAGGTTGGCTACAGACTCTCCCAGCACTGGGGCAAATGCAGCTTTGGCTCTTCTCTAGTGTGGAGACCACAGCATGCCTGGTGGCAGAACTCCTGGAGGAGACTTCCTCTGTTGTACTGACTCACTGGTAACCGCGCTAGAGCTCATGACAGGGGTGAAGGCCTTGGGTTTTCTGCATCTATTGTATCTTTTCTTTTTTTTTTCCCCATGCAGTAAAAGTAGCGAGGGACTTACAGGTCATTTGTCAGTGGGTCCCAAATGGCAGGGACCTTCTAAGACACAGAGAAGTCTACCCTAGGCTAGGTATTGGTTCTTACTCTTTGTGACTCTTTCTCTTTGCTGACATCACTGTTTATCTCTCACCAACCCCCAAACCCACTTACAGGATGACGAGAGCCTGAAGCACCTCACACACGAGGAAAAGGATGTTATCCTGTTCTTTGAAGAGACCCTTGATTCTCTGGAATATGACTTTGACGAGCCAGCCCTGTGTGACAGTGGCATTCATTGCCACTCTCCACAGTCTCTGGAAGAGAGCCCTTCCAGTCACTCTGAACCGGAAGATGTCATCGATTTAGTACAGCCGGGACCTGTGTCCAGGGAAGCTGAGAGCCTTGCAGATGTGCCTCAAGTAGCAGGTACACATATGTCCCCATGCCTTTGACTTGGTTTGGTGGTGCACCCAAGGCACACCAGCACTTCCTGCTCTGTTTGTGTATGCTTGTCAATATAGAAGCTTCTAGAAGGGAGAATCAGACTTTTGGTACTCTCTCTAGCAAGGGAAAACAGGTAACAAAGAAAGCCAACTGAAAGGAGACACACACACACACACACACAGAGAGAGAGAGAGAGAGAGAGAGAGAGAGAGAGAGAGAGAGAGAGAGAGAGAAAGAGAGACCAAATGAGCATATAGACTGTGTGTATGTTTAGGTGTCATGGGCACTTGATCTGTGCTGCAAGGTTATGTTCCATTCCTAACACATGGCTCTGTGAAGTAGTCCAACACAGAGCAGACAAGGTCCAGGCCAGCCCCTCCTCTGTCCACTATGCATCACTGAGCAGCATCAATGAGGTAGGCTTATACCCATTGAGTCATGGGGTAGAACTGGAAAGAAATGGTCAGTGAAATGCTTCTTACAGCCTCTATTTGCTGATGGGAGATGATATTGAAAAATAAATGAAGGAGGCACCTAGGACTAGACAAGAGAAGAAAGAAATAAGAGAGAAGACATTGTGCCTTGCAGACTATAAACACCAGTGATTGTGGAGACAAGGATCCCCAGCTGGCCTGGAGCTAGCCCAGTCTGACCTCCAACTCAGTTCTCTTGTCTCTGCCTCTCAAGTGCTGGCATTACAGTGTATGCCACCATTCTTAGCTTATGTGTGTTTTCCTTAGAAGCAAACTGCATTCCCAGAATTGACACCCCGCAGTCATGGATCCCATACATAAAGAGAATGGTTTTCAGCCAGCCCTTGAGAGAAGAGACATTAATTTTTTAAAATTTATTTTAACATTTCTGTTTTGAAGCATAGTTCCTAAAGTAATTTGAAACGACAGATCCTTTAAAAAAAGATTAGATTGGGCTGGAGAGATGGCTCAGCCATTAAAGGCTGGGCTCACAACCAAAAACATAAAAAAGATTAGATCACACAATCATACCAAAGAAAAATGGGTTTGGAAAATTCAACATGTGTCCCCAGCAATTCTCTAACCTGCTATTATCATATCTTTGTTTTTTGAGATAGGGTGTCTTCATGTAGTCTTGGTTGTCCTGGAACTCACTGTGAAAACCAGGTTGGCTTTGAACTTTAGAGATCTACCTTCCTTTCCCTCTTGAGTGCTGGGATTCAAGATGGGCACCCCATCCTCCACTCAGTGTCCCCTCTATAAAGACTCCCAATGAGGTGATCACTGCTTGCCTCCTGTCACGTGCCCTCAGCATGCTGGACCCTCAGAGGTGTACCTTTCTAGACTGCTCCCTAACTGGCTGTTTCTGGCTCTTAAGTCGTCGCCACCCTCTCGGGAATCAGCTGGTTCTCAGCGTATGTCTCTGAGAATAGATGGACTGCCTTCTCTCTTACCAGTTCGGGCAGCAGCACCAGCATTTTGATTAGGCATTGTGACTCTCTGAAGTTCGAGTGGCAGGAACACCACGTGGCTATTTCCACTGGAGTGAAAACTTACGAGGTCTCTCTCTTTTTTTTTTTTTTTCAGGGGCCCCACCTGTTACAAAGCAGGACAATTCTGTTCCTGGGGGTGGGAAACAAGCCGCTGAGAATTCCCTGCCTCTAGCAGACTCCAGAGATCCCGAAGTGTTTCCTCTGCCGCCTGTCTCTGTGCCCTCTGCCCCCCGAAAGGAGCTGATGTCCCCCTCTCCTCCAGCAGAGCATCCCAAACTATCCCGCTCTGTGCCCACTCCCCTGGTGATTGCTCAGAAAATTTCTGAGAAGTTGGCGGGAAACGAAGCCCTGTCCCCCACCTCCCCATCGAAGGAGGGCAGGCTTGGGGAATGGAGGACGCCGACTTCTATAGCCTCTCGAAATGGGGACCATGTTGGCTTGTGGCACCGACACACGACCCAGCCGGCACCCAAGATCCACCGCTTCCCGAGCAACATAAGCGTGACCAACAGCGCGGGCAAGGACTTCAACAAGACTATCTCCAAGGCGGCTGTCAACGTGCAGGAGCGGAAGGCCCAAGTCCTGGCCAATATCAATGGCATGTCCTTCATCACTGCAGGCGACACGTCGTCGGAAGAGCGGTGGCAGAAGGCAGAGGAGCAGAGGGGCGGCTCTGCGGATACCCAGGGCAAGGTGGTTGTGGCCGGGGAGCTCGGGGGACCGCGTGCAGGAGGCCCAGCCAGGGCGCAGCAGTCCCGGGCTGTGCAGACTGAGCAGCCGCCGCTGGCCAACGGCTTCCAGAGCGTGCACGAGGCCCTGCGCAGCGAGCCCAGTGCCTTCGTCCCCACCAGCAAGACCATCACCTTCCGGCCAGACCCCGCTGTAGCGGGCAAGCTTGTGCGCCAGAACGCCAGCCGCAGCCTGTATGAGCCGCGCCTGGATGGCCCCCAGGATACCCGCAAACGCACAGGCTCGCTCCCCCGGGCTGCAGGCTTCCGGCCTCAGGGCATCACAGTGCAGTTCGCAGGCCGCGGCTCCACGGAAGAAGCACGACGTGAGGCCCTGCGCAAGCTCGGGCTGCTGAAGGAGAACTTGTGAGGGCCATGGGTGGGACTACCCGAGTGGCTAGGTAGACCTTGCATGCCCGCACTGGGTGTCCGGTTCTATAAGCACAGGAGCGGGGCGGCGCGAAGTGCTGCATGTTCAGGGACGAAGTCTCTGCCCCAACCCCTGTATCCAGTGCAGCATGGAGTCAGAGGCCAGCGGGGCAAGGACCAGACCCCGGAGCTGCCCTCTTTCTTTGCTGGGGTTACAGAATAACCTTTAGAACCTGTGGGCTTCCATGGCTGCAGTTGAGCTATGACTTACTTACACGAGGACAGCCTTGAATTGACTTGGTCTAGGATCTCTCATCTGGCCCTTTATCCCACGCGCAGGACTTGAAAGCCAGTGTAGCTCTGGCGCTCAGGATTCTCCCTCCTCGAAAATAAAAAAGAAATGCTTGTTCAATTTTCTCTAGTGTCAATGTACACTTTGCAGTCTGTCTGCCTGTGTGGTGTTTTTATTTTTGTTTTGTTTTTAAGGGTGGAAGATGGTGGGAGTAAGATTTACTGTAATTTTGAGTTGTGAGTAAAACGGGGGTCGAAGTTGGGAAAGGCAGTAACTTTGAGAAAGCAAATCTCGTGCAACTCTGGGATGTGTGAATGAGTGTGTTGTATATAACTATATGTACCTAAGCTAACGTATGTATGCACATTTATTAGTACATAAGTATCTACTTCCGAAGACACCATTATCTAACTACAGGATATGAGCACTTCCTTTTCTCTCATACACCTTAGCATTGTAATGGGGCACTAAGAATTCTTACTCCTATTGTGGAAGTCGGCTAAGGATGCATGAACCCCAAGTACCTTTTCCTCAACAGTATGTTCTGTTCCCAATTAAAGTAACATTTCCTGCTTTCAAATAAGCAAGATAGTTCCTGTTTTCACTTCACAACTTTTTTTTCATTTAAAGAAAAATTAAAATCTTCTTTGTCCCCTTACTAGTTTTGTGTTGCCAGGCAGCTAGTAGACAGAAGGAAACGATCTGATTGGTTGAGTTCATGAACAACTTCTCAGGAATTATCTGAAGGAGAAAACTGTGACCTCGAGTTGTGCAACATGAAGTTTCCTTTTCTCCCAGACTTTGTCTTAGAGTTGTGGCCACAAGTGTTATTATCGAAACTATTTAAGGCTGGAGTCGCAGACCTCTAAAAATAGATGGGGATGGGCTGGCCTGAGAGCCACGCCCACCGGTCCTAGGCAGCTCTGTTACAGAACTCTTTTCCAGTTGAGTACTTTTGAGTCTCAGACTTCTAAACAAGCTGTTGACGGCTGTTGGAGGCCATTTTCACTGTACTAAAATTAACTTGTGAGTTACATATTGTTTCTTCAGAACCATGGTCCAGCAACTCAACCAGCTCTTGTTCTCCTGAAGTCATCTCGAACATTTTTTTAGTCTTCATTTAAATATGACTTTAAATTTTAAAAAGTACCTTTAATTTTGTTCCTACTTATGATGGATTTGCTGACAGGAGCCAGGAGGTTTCCCTTTGGCAAAGTGAGATGCCATACACAGTGTTTAGTAATTGAAGGTCTCGATACAGCTGTTACAAATATCCTTTGTAGAGGATTTTCCTAGAACTTTATTGTGAATAGAATGAGTTTGACTGTATATTAATATATTCTTGTAATGACATTTTTGAAAAACCAATTTTTATCTTACCTATAAACAACTGTATTACATTATGCACTATATTATTTGCTTTTAAAGGGTTATATATTTATTCATGTTTTCTTTCTATTTAATCCATAATTACATTGACTGTTACTTTAAATGTTTCTTGTGTCCAAAGCCCTAATGATTAAAGCCCCATTTTTGTGAGTGATGGCCCTTCTGTGTGTCTGAAAAGCATTAGTTTTCTCACAGCTGTTATGTGATGTGACATTCTTAAATGACATCTAGCTCCCAGTGTTGAAAGACCATATTTCAAAGCAAGATTGTAATGAAAAGAAAAGGTAGATCCTAAGTTCCTGGTTTCTTCTCAGGTGACATTTATAAACATCTCTTCATGTTTAGGAAACTCTATCATATTATGTAAAAGCCAGAAAAACAAAACAATTTCTCCTTTCCTTTATTAATGGCTCTTTACACAGAGCCTTGCAGCCACAGCCCTACATAGCAGTTCCCGAGAAAAGCCCCTGCCTGCTACAGTTCCTGCCCCCTCTCTGCTCTACCTAGTGTGCCTGCTCATCTGTACAAAATAGGCAGACCCTTTGCTCTTTGCTCTCTTCCTAAGGTTACACCCTCTTGTAACTCTGCTTGAAGAGCAAGTGAAGAGTCAGATGCTACCCACCAGACACGCCAGGCCCCTGCCATGCACAGTGGTGATCATGGAGCCCTCATCAATCAGGGGCATACAGGCAGCCAGGGCTACAGAAGCGGAGTTCTGACTGTAGGATTCTTTGCACACACTGCTAGTGGGGAGCAGTAGGACCCCATTGGAGACTAGCCTTCATGAAGATCTGGGTGGGGTTGATCAATGAGGCCTTTGGAACCCTAGTATCAGTTCAGAACAAAACAAAGGCAAGTGCATTCTTCCCAAATCCCCAGAGCTTCAGCAGCTGTGGGGATAGCACCTTTCCCAGGATTTAGAGGGTATTTTTACTGGTAGGTGATATCAGCTCTTTAACATGTCTTAAAGAGGAAGAAAGAGACGATAAATATGACAACAATTTACTCTTATCAAAAAAAAAAAAATGTGTGTCTGCTACACAGCTGTTTTCCTAGCTGATATGCGTACAATGAAGACATTGTTTCTCTCTGGGTACTTTATTGATGTCACCTGGCAAGGTTAATAAACTAAGTTTTGCCCTAAACTGTGTTCTCAAACTTCAGTCATCTAATAGTAGTGCCATCTGGATGAGCAGCAGCCTTGCTTCTCTGGGTCCCTTGTCCTCGCCCTGGTCTCCAGCCAAGGCTGCTGGATGGAAGGAGGAAGGGGAGGATTGTGAATGTTCACCTGGAGAGGTTTCTGTTCTCTCTAAAGTGACAAGTCACCGAACAGGTTTTGTGTCTTCTCTTCATGAGACTTTAAAGTCTGGGGACAAGTCCCTTATCCTTTTCTAATCTACCAGTCGGACAAGCTGCTTTCACATACCCGAGAAAAGAGGAGCCCAGGCTTTAAGCTGCTGTGTCCTGGGAATGTCCTAGCTCTTTGTGACTGAGTTAGAAATGGAGGCCCAGTTGGAAATTCAGTCCAGCCGCTGGCCTCCCATTCACCCCCTTCCACCAGAGTCACCCTTCTCTGGGCATCAAAACCCCAGGGTGTGTATTGAGCAGAGGGGAGGTGAGGAGCAGATGGGGGGGGGGAGGGAGTGGGGTAGAAGCAACACTGGGAATCTGCCTCTGGAGTTGCCTAGAGCCATCACACATACTTTTCAGCATAGAAGGAATTAGTCTGAGTGAGTGACAGTTGAAGTGCTTTTAAAGGTGCCTGGATGCCATGGAGCAGCGCTGTGCTGGTCCCTCTCTAGAGGTGGAGGCAGGCAGATGAGTTCAAGGTCATGCTCAGCTACAAAGCAAGTTTGAGGTCTTCATGACCTCATGAGGTCTTCAAAAATTAGCAAGACTTCAGAAATGTCAGTCACCCTGTGACAGCAGGCTCTACACTCCCTCCTGGGGACTTCCCTGGGAGGGGTTGGGGGTAGGCAGCCATAAACAACCCCCAGGAACAGAAACTATTTCCTTTAGTCTTCCTCCTTGTCCTCTGAACTACATGAACTTTCTGTTGTGCAACTACTAAAGGAGGAAGGAGGCATAATGAGGATTTCCAGCAAAGTCTGAGTGAACCACCAGACATTCTCCAGTCCACAGGAGGACAGCAGCTCAGAGTGTCATGTGTCTCAGAAGTTTCCTTACCAGTCCCTAGTGGTCTGCCCTGGGTCTTCATCCAGGCTCCATTGCTTTAAGGTATCCTGGGATTTAGACCAAGAAGGCAGGTTAGGAGAGGTCTTCATGTATGCTTTATATAGGTCCTCAAATCCCAAGCCTGCCTCAGCATTCTCAGAGCCATCTATTTCCTCAATGGGGCCAGACTTCTGAGCTTCCAGACCACTTGGAAGGGGCAACTCCAAACTATAGACTAGCCACTCTTAGGGTCAGGGCTCCAATCCCCACTGTACCATTCCTGCTGTGGTCATGGGTGAAAATTCACAGTTGGAAGCTGAACCTAGTCACTGACAAACAGGTCACACTTCATAAACTCTAGTTCAGAGTATGTGCGTGTGCAGCAAAGCTGCCGAGGGTACTAGCCAAAATTCTGGAAATACTTTCAAAGGGTGAGGCTGAATGAACAAGAAACCCTACCTACACCAGAGAGCTGGCTTTTGTGTCTGTGTGTGTGCAAGCACATGTGTGGATGTGTACACTCTTCTAGAGCGACCAGGCTGACTTCAGCCCTTGGCATCTCTGATTGGTGCTCGTCAGATGAGTATATAGGCCTTGAGTGTTGCCACACACAGCTAGAGGCCTGACCTTGTTACTAATGATGACTTTAGGTCTCTGTGGCCTTTGGAAAAGACACCTTAAATTAGGTTGCTTGCAGGTTGCTGTGACAGCAAGTTTCAAAGATCTCTTTGGCTTCTATCTCATTCTATTGCTCAAACGTTTCCTGGCCCATGAAATAGGTAGACTTTGTCCATTTGTTAATTGGTTTGTTGTCTACTTGTTTGGTGTGTGAGCATTTGAGTTTGGGGAAGAAGGCCTCTGCCTTGTGAGGCAGGATGAAAAGGGCTTGTGGAGCCCTTAACTGGAGTTGGAGTATCTCCTGCCTATATCCTGCCTTATATGTAAGCCCCTTGAGCTAGGCCCTTCCCCTAAGGACCTCCAACTTTGAGGTTCCAACCAAGGATACTCTAACTGCCCTAACTGCTGGACCCTGCCCCCAACCCTACAACCCTACGGAGTAAAAAGCCCAAACTCTAAATGTGAAATCCCACCAATCTCCACCATGGAAAGCTCCATGCTGAAAAACTCCACCCCCTCCCGAGAAACTCTATATAAGCCCTGTATCCTGATCAGTTTGCTGCTGTTTCTCACAGGAGCAGACACAGCCTCCTGGTTTTTCCCTTCCAATAAATCTCTTGTGTGAGTTGTCATGTGGTATGACCTTGTGGTATTCCTTGGCTCCCAGCTGCCAGGATAGCTTTCCATCCAAGCTGCAATGCTTACATTATAAACTTAGCCATATTCTTTTACATTCTTATCCATATGTTTCTGAAGCTTTCTGTAAAGTTATTTTTCAGTGTACTCATGACTGTGTGTGTGTGCATATGTGTGTGTATGTGTTGTGTCTGTGTGTCTGTGTGTGTGTGTCTGTGTGTGTATGTGTGTGTCTGTGTGCGTATGTGTTGTGTGTCTGTGTGTTTGTGTGTGTCTGTGTGTGTGTATGTGTTGTGTGTTCGTGTGTTTGTGTGTGTGTATATGTGTGTCTGTGTGTGTATGTGTGTGTGTGTGTATACTGTATGTGATTGTATGTACCTGGGGGTCAGTTGTCCTCACCTATCACCCTTATCCACCTTATTCCCTTGAGACAGGGTCTGGATGTCTCACTGAACTTGGAGCTCACTGTTTCCAGCTAGACTAGCTAGCCAACAAGCCCCATAAATCCTCTGTCTGCCCCCAACTCCCAGTGCTGGTGTCACGGGCACATAAAACCATGATTGACTTTTTATGTGGGTTCTGGGGATCTGAACTCAGATCATAATGCTTGAGTAACAAGCACTCTTCCCCCAGCAAGCCATCAGCACCCGCAGGCTTCCTCAAGCTTCCAGTCTTCCTATCTGCCCCTCCAGAATTCTGGGATTACAGGTGTATGCCACACACCCGGATTCTCTGTTCACTCCATAAGAACAGAATTAAAATGTGTATGATGTCAGTCAGTGGGAGCAAGTACATAACTAAAGAATATTATTTGATGTTTGTTTTTGGTTTATTGAGACAGAGTAGCCCAGGCTGACCTCACACTCCTTATTCTCCTGCCTCAGTCTCTGGAGTGGCTTGGGTTACAGGGATACATCACCAGGCTCTACTTAAAATGTGTTTTCTTAATCACTAAAGCTTGGGAGGTAAAACTGTAGGTGCCAAACTATATCAACTTTTTTTATCCAGCAAAGCCTTGTGTCTTCCACAGGATGCACATTGAGTGGGGGTAAATACCTTTTGTAGACTGTGACTACCTGCCAGGGGGAGAGGCGTGTGCAGTGGCCACTCACAGGAAGGGTTCTCTCTACCAGGGCCTCCTGGGGCCACTGCTTCCGTGGCCCTGGTCCCTGGCCTGCAGTTGGCTCACCTCCCACAGATGCTCAAGCCAGGGCAGCACTGTTCCTCCTCGTCGTCGTTTCTCCTAGATGTGGAGCTGGCTGCAACCCACCAGGTCATCAAGAGGGGATGCATCCCATCTAGTGTCTCTCCATAGAGCTATCTCATCTCCCTGGAGTCACTTCCTGCTCACTCCCAGACTTGGAGTTATGGTCCTCCTACTAGCAGACTGGGGTCTTTTTATTTTGAATAATGTGAGCTAGGGTCATCTTGAATCTGAGCCTGGAGCCCATACAACTGAATCTTTAGGAAGAGGGGAAGCTGTGTGCCAGGCCCTATAGCAAGGGCAGGAGCCCCTGACCTCTGATTTGGAAGAGCCCTTCAAGGCAAGGCCTTTGTTCCCTGTTTCCATCCCTTTCCCCAGACCTTGATTTGAAACCCAAAATTGCCCTCTGCACAAAGGCTCCTAACCACCTAGATGGGAACTGGGGGCAGAGGTTGCCCAGCTGTCCACTGTAGTCCTGGTCACTGGAAAGACCAGGAGGCCTCAGTGTGGGGCTCTA